TATATATATATATATATATATGTGAGTGTGTGGGTGCGTGGGTATGTTTATATGATGTTTGGTACACTGTTATCTGTGTCAAAATTGGCTCAATTAGTATTTCCATGCACTTTCAATACCTGTGATGAGATTGATACTGTATATTAATGTAATAACAATATGACTGGATCACGTTGTTTTAGATACTGGACAAAATGATTCTACCTCCTAGATGTAAAGGGTAAAAGACAATGGAAACATATGGATGTCCCTGTAAGAACAAAGAATTGCGCTCTCGTTCTTCCAGAAAGTTGGGTACCCCCAAAAATGCAACATATCCAGGTTCAATATCTGACTGGTGCTGACTCTGCCATTCTCTGTTGAATTTAATTTTGCTGGAGCCTTCCTTTTGAGACCACAAGAGGTCAAAACAGGCCTTTGGCAAAATCTGTCCCTTTTATTTTTAAGTAATGAATGTACATATATGATGTGAAAAGGGTAAAAGCCCACTGCAGAAATGTTAGCACCCATGTAGGCTCACTGTCCACGTGTTTGCCACTGTCTGTACGAAGTGCTTTTAAAATAGTTCACGCATTGGATTTTAAGATATCCTGTGGGATGATTGCCAGGCTGTTGTGTAGGGCGAGTGCATGCGTGTGTGTGTGTTATGCCAGGGTCCCTGAAGCACTGAGGCTGAGAAGCTGTCTGAAATATATACCCCTATTTTCAGGGGGGGGCTCACTGAGCCCTTCAAACTTTATTCTGGGATCCTGCTCTTTTGCATTTTAAAGTTTCAATTATGGGGCACATTCTGTTTCTTATTTAAAAAATAAGAGGAAAATATATATTTTAGTGACTATAACAATCCACTTAATGTTTCCAAAAACATGTTAACCTGAGCAATTAGCTAAGGTTTTTTCCCCACTCCCCAGATATATGGTGTCGCACCCATCAGAGGAGTCATTTGTGGGCAGTCTGTGGTGGGAGAGACTGGCACCCTACCACTATCTTATGCAGACCAGTTAAGCCTTGATATAAACGAGAATCACCTTGGGGCGGTTAAGAGTAACAGGTGCGTTTATAAAACTTCTTGAATATGGTGTTCATTAACTATGATGGGTATCTTTCCCTCCCCAACCACTGCTGTTTCACACTCCACAGTCATCCACCCTCGGATGACATCCTGTCCATGCACACGCACGTATCCATATGGTCTAGATCTGAAAGACATCCTGATCGAGGTGAGCATTTATGCAGGTGCGGAACTTTGTGTGGACTTAACACCCACTGAATTCGATGGGACCTAAGCATATGGCTCAAGTTAAGCACCTGCTTGAGTTTTGCCTTGAATAAAGAGGGGCTTAGACATATGTTTATGTGCTCTCCTGAACTGGGTCCATGTACTGTAGAACTTGGACTTTTTTTAATTAAAAACAAAATAAAAAAATCAAAATCAAGGTGGGGAATTGGTAGTACTTATTTACATGTTACAGTTTTATTCCAAGCACTAAAAGGATTTTATTTTAAAAAAGAAAAAAGTGCACACTTTTTTTGATCCACAGCAACAGGCAAAAGCGAGAGAACTTGATTATGGAGAAGGAGAAACCCAGATATTTGGGTCTCTAAGTATGAGATGGTTCCATGATAACTATTTTAATATACTTCTCAGAAGAATGTTTCCATAGATATGATTGTGCTGTTCTGTATATTGCTTGCTCTTGGCAATGTCTCACACCCACCATGCTTTGTATGTATTTTTGTGTGTGTATGCGATACGTTTTTCCTTAACTGAATACGTGATTTCCGTGTTCAGATTATGGATGTAAATATATATATATATATATTTTTCAGCAGTCCCTTTACTCTTGCCTTCAATGACGTCTTGTTGGAATAACGGGAGGCTGGGGGGAGCACTGAAAATGGGCTTTCTTGAAGGCAAGGAAATACACTTTGCATCAGGAAACTGTTTTTATCAGTCAGGTGTAGTGCTCTAGAAGGGTAACCACAGAAAACAAAATCTTTTTTGCAACCCTGGATGCACCTGCCAGGCCCATCTGCACTGGACAGATGTCATTGTGGCATGTAACTTTATTTAAACATGTAGGGCCAGATTGTGGGTAGTCAAGAGCAGGGAGAAAAGAACTCGGAGCTATCCCTCTGACTGTGCCCACAAGAGGCCAAACTGGAGTCTGGAGTAATATAAAACACCCTGTGGGCTAGACTAAATTGTATCATCTCCTCCAGGTCTGTATTTGGAGGGGAACAGGTAGCACACAGTGCACTTCCATGTACCCTACATGGAGGGTAGATGTAGTATTGGGGAGGGAAGATCTAGATAGCTATGCTAGCTAGACACTACGCATTTCCCCACTGAGAACCTGCAGCTGCCTGTTCATGTTGGAGAGCCCAGCTGCCTCCGAGTCCATGCCAAGGATTTGGCCCTTGTCATAGGCCTGGACTGTTGTTTAAAATCCTGCCACCTGGCCACCATTCACTCTAAACTATAGCTTGGTGTAGGTAGACTAAGATTAGCCCCAACCCCTAGATACAAGATGAGACGTGATCATATCTGCCTGCAGGGAATGCTGAGTTGTTTCCAGCCCATTCTCACGCTGTGAAATCTGTTGGTGCGGATGAGCCTGTTGCTGACTCATCTGAGCAACGGTTATGTTCTTTGCCCAAAAAAAGACGTGGGCGTTCCCCTGAGCCAGCTCTAGAAGCTGGCTTCATCACGGAGGGAGTGGTTTTTAGTATACTGCTAAAACTCGTTACGAGGGCAGCAGGATGCTGAAGGCCCTGGAGAGTTTCTTGGGAGTAGAAAGCATGTGAGATTTTTGCGGGGATTGGTGCCGGAAAAAAAAGGACTGAATCGGGCACTTCAGGCTCTGACCCTGTTCTCAGTGAAGCCAGTAACAAAGCTGCTGTGGACTTCAGTGGATGCAGGATCAAGCCCTACATAAATCGGGTCAGATCCACCTTTTGTGCAGACATCTCCCATCAGTGATGAATAGGCTGCAAGTTTCATTTTAGTCTTCAAAATTGCACTTAGGCTGAGTATGGAAGGGGTGAATTTCATGCTTAAGGGCAGTTGTTTTTTTTTTCAAAAGCTTCCAGCAGTTTAGATCAAAGCAGTTGGTTGCTGAACACTTAAAGAATCTGTCCCTCAGCCCACAGGATTTCTGTTCTCAGACGCAGTTTATATTACTGCTGCCCGAGGAGGCCAACGCTAGGCCCTTGGCATGGAATCACCTTGTATTTGTAGTTTGCATATTCCTTATTATGTGGGTTGAAAAATGAGCAATATGTTAAATGCCTTCATCTGGGAAGGAAGCAAAGGCAATTTTCTGTAAGGCAGCACGATTACAAAAAAAAATATTGTAGCTGAGATTCGGGTTTTTAGACTTGAGTCTAATATTAGATCTAGGGTTGCTAGTAGCACTTAAGAAACCAAGTTGTCTTGCTATGCAAGGCAGGGGACAAAAAGAGTCTTTTGTGTATCTGTTGCGAAGTTATGTTGTTCTCTTGGATGACGCCTAATGGGGAAAATCTGAGGTTGATTTTTGAATTATGGGGGCAGATCCTCTGCTACGTCCAAAAGCTACAGTGAAAGACCAGGTAGGGGGAAGGGAGACTGGTTTCAGTTCTGTTGCTCTGACTTGCTGCACGCTTTGGCCCCTCTAGACCAGAATACAGGTCAGGAGAAGCCCCAGCCGGGGAAATGCAGGCGGTTTCTGCTCCCTTTTTTTGCTGCTTGACTTCGTGCCGAGTGTGTAGATCTGGCCTGAATTTTACAGTTTTAGCTTTTAGACACTCGAGTACATGTAACTACTTGCACAAGTATTCCCATTTGAGTCCAATGGGAGTGGTCCCCAGAGCGACAGTGCTGCTGCGAGTCTGGGAACGAGTTCTGCATGAAGAGTTACCAGCGGTACCTGGCTTTACCTTCCTGGGTTGATTATTTCAACTGGAGTTTGAAGTAATCTATCCAGTGTTTTAATGTTATCTCGATGTTCTACCAACACCCAAATACAATGACCGTTCCTACACTGCAAACAAGCTTTTTGCTGGACTCGGATAACCTAAATTTGGTTCAACATATTATATCTGTATTCATTTGTTCCTTAAAAGGAGCAAGTCCATTTAATTTCAGGTTCCGAAACTCTAAAGTAATATAGTGGTTCGTAATTAAATTGACTACAAAGTTGGTTGTTGTTTTTTTTTCCTTTTTACATAGTTAGGAGGGTGGGGAAAGACAGCTTACTTCTTTCCAAAAGTTGCATTGTCACTATAATATTAAGCAAACTACTGTGGGAGAAGAAGAAATTCCTCTTATTTCCAAGTAGTTGAAGCCAATCCTCAAAGCCCATCCTGATGTCAGTACGTGCACTGGGAATGCCAGGCCTCAGCTGATGCGTAGCTCTGATTTCTAAATTTCTGGCTCAGAGTCTTGTACTGACATGTGAAAAAAGCATGCTTTTCATGCATTTGGAATCACTTCAGTTGCCTTTTACTTATGAAGCTGAAGACCAGCACTGTTTGGAAACTTTCATTTAGAGAAGAGCTGACATTTATGGACAAAATTTATCCCCGGGGGGGGGGGTGTTCCTAACCTAATCTGTACCGGTCAAATGAATTCCAACCAGATGATCTATGTTCTTTGACCACCACATTTTCCACTTTTTTCTTTTCTTTCACAGCTGGGGGGAAAATTCTGATGTTTTTCTGTCATCTGTGTGGAAGAATCAATATAGCTTCATTAATTTACCTAGGATGCGAATGAAAGATGTAAGGCTAAATCTTCTGCCAGTGTGACATGCTGTAGCTCCATTTCCAAGTCACAGGAGCGGTGTTAATGTAGGCTAGCAAAAAACTGGCCCATCGTGTTTAGGTTTTGTAAACCTGTTAGTAATTTAGGACACCGAGGCTAATGTACATATAATGATTGTGCCCTGTAATGACAGTGATGCAGTTGGGCAAATGTATTGGTAAGACAAGTCACTGTCAAATGATCTCCAAGTCATAGTTGTAGTAGACAGTTGTAAAAAATTAAGGCATATTTGAATTTTAAAATGAATTAACACATTGTTTCAGTTTTCAGTGCCAGAGAATATTAGGGGTTATTTTGTTATCTTTTTGAACAAGGGCAGGGAAAACTTACTGCGTTAGAGGTTCTGTCAAGGAAGTTGGAGTTGGGTGATGTGATCAAACTCCTGTTAAGTCAATGGTGAGACTTGGGTTGATTTCAGTGGGACCGGGTCAGGCTTTCTATGAGCAGTTACTTGATAGTTTCTAGTGTAAGTAATATCGGTCATCTGTGTATCGAGTGTCATCACTGTACTTGCTCAAGGAAAGTCATCAAAAGGGCACAGGAGAAACAGCTGGATTTGAAGGTTGTTAGACTTTCACTCCTTTGGTCCTGCATGCTTTTTCAAGACCTGCTTTAGTAGAAAAATCTTGATCCCAACAACAGTTCACTTTCTGAACCACACAGCAAGCCTGTTGCTTTTCTCTCTGTTTTTGCTTTTTTTTAATGAAACACAATATGCATGTGTAGAGATTGAGATGGATTACTGCATGCATTTGGGTTGAATTCTAGATTCCTGACCTAGAATATTTCTGTTCTACCTGTGCTCTTTGGGGCATTTTTTAAAATATTTGTGTTTTGCTTTATAATAAGACCACGTAATTCCAATGGACCACCCATAAATGTAACACTTTGAGATAACTAAAGACTGTGTGCGCCCAGCAAAGAAGGTGGCTGAATTTTCTTCATAGTTGGTAGGGTCGGAAGGGACCTGAGCAGATCATCAAGTCCGACCCCTTGCCATGGCAGGAAAGAGTACTGGGGTCAAATGACCTTAGCAAGGTGTACATCTAGCCTTAATGTGGGCTCACAATTGGTTCGGTTTATATTTTTATTTTGCAATTATTAAAAACAAAAAAAAAATCCTTTGGATTACTTTAAAGGAAAATGGCCTTTTTACTTTAAAAACTTTTTTTTAAAAATCTCCTTGCACCCTCAACCCTACTCCTATTTCCACTTCCCCACCAGAAAAGAAGAACAAAAGTGATAAGTTGTGGTCACTCAGCTTTCTAAATCAGTTTCTGGCATATCTGATTCAAAACGTATCTGGGAACAAATTGAAGTTTGCAGATGGTTGAGAGAGCACAAGGGCCCTTAGCCCAGTTACTGAATTTGTGATGGTTTGTGCATGTTATTAGTGGTTTGTTTGGGGAGGTTTTTGGCACGGATTTATAGTTCTAGGAAAGTGCTAGAATGGCTTGAATCTCATTCTTTTGAGCCCTGGATATCCAAGGAATGCAGAGTTGGCCCCTAACCTTTAGGGGAGCGGTGCTTCAAAATACTTGGCTACCTGCCCGGTGGTTGCTCCACATCCTGGTTGAGAAACATCTCTGGGACTGAGAAGGTGGTTTGATCTCTGCACACATTCAGATCTGTAAATTGGCACCTTTTTTTTTTTTTTGCAATTGGTCCTATATCTTTGGGAGTTTTTGATGGGCTTCCCCTGTAGAGTTCCTCCACTGTTTAGTTCAGCACGTGATGGCAAACGTGGGAACAGCTGGGGAGACGGGATGTTTGGCTTTGGACCACTATCTTGACTCATCCTGCTTATGGCAAGTTCAGATGCTATGGTGCTTGAAACTCCAGCTACCCCCACTGTTTTGCGTCCCCTCCTGTGCTGGCTGGTGGAGCAGAGCCAGAGTGAGCATCAGCAAGTGGAGACTTTAGTCTAGTATAGGGAAGGGCTGAGTGGCCCTATTTACACTGACCAAGGACAGAGCATTAGCATAAGCTGGTCCAAAAATGGATTGGGGAGGGGACATCCCAAAGTCTTGCCAGTGTTTCTACACAATTTTTTCTAAATTGTAGAGTTTTGACAATAAAAAAAAAAAAAAAAAGTCAACCAGCTTTGGATAGTAGCCTTCTAATGAACTTTGGGTTAACACGGGCATCAGTCTAGAACGGTTGACCTCCACAACTGGTGATTTATCCATTTAGTTTAGTACTTGTAATGAGAAATGTAATCTGAATGCAGTTGCATCTGCTGCTGCAGGTGGCAAGAACTGCCACACAAGCTTGAGAATCTCACCAATTGCCACATGCCATGAAATAGGCTTGCAAACCATTGCGCGCGCTCTCGCATAGAAGATAGCAAGGTCATAGCAGGGATCATCACTTTAGCCCCCATTACTTGTAGTGATGCCAGTCCTCCCTAGAGAGAACTGTCTTATGCTTCTTAGGTCTAAATCTTTTGTTGCAAGAGGTAGAAACCTGTAGTCTGTATGTGTAAGTAGAGTTAAATCCATGTAGAGTAATTCTGAAGTCCATTCTCAGGCGAAGCTGAGTCGTGCTTTAAGCTTTGCATGGGTAAGAATTGCAGCTGATGACTCTTTCGGGAGCTAATAGAAACAACCATTAATAGCCGTCTTAGTTATCAAATGCTCATACTAATAGAGCAGGATGGTAGTTGCTTTCATTGCATGATTTGTTTGAATATACATATATTGCATAAGGCATTAGCACACTGTTGAGAATTATATTAAAGCTACTTCTGGCAGCCACAAAAAAGCTATGTAACACTCACCTATTATTTTTGTATCTGGCCCGTAGCTTAGAGTAAAAAAAAAAAAAACAGACGGCACCCAGGAAGTGTTATGCTTCCAAGCGCCAGTTTATACCTGCTATGTCTTGGGTTGCAAAAACCAGCAAGCACGTCTTTGAAGGGTTCGACTTAGTTTTTAGAGGTCTGGCAATACCTATGCTCTGTCGAGGCTGTGCAGGTCCGGTGCTAAGGGGTTGCCAACCACTCTGTTCTAAAAGACCTGCATAGACAACGCAGCTGGTACTTTTCAACACAGACTGCATTGTTCAGCAGTGCTCAGATTACGAATATTCACCTTGTCATGTAAAGCCTAGTCAACACAAAAGACCATGAGTTAGCGACTGTTCTGACAGCGTACCGTTAAAGCCTGTGTATGCCCTGTCGAGTCTTCCACAACTAACGTGCCATTAATCTGTAGCTTAGACTCGATGAAATCCGTTGTGCTGAATTCACTGGCAGTTACTCCAAGGAGCAGGTCACTTTTTTTTTTTAACTGGATCTCACCATAGTACGTCTTCTCCAGACCCCCATATTATAGGCTGACTTGCTCGTCACTTAACGCCTTCGCTGCTGCGGAGAAGAGCGTGCATCCATCTCCATAGCACCTGCGTGCCTTAGTGCGACCATGTTAAACCAGTGGGAGAGAACAAACCTTGTTTGCTTGGCATCAGTTGAGTTTTTTAGATACTAAAACATTCCTAGGATTTTAACTGTATTTTCACCAGGCTAATCCTATCCACAGCTTTACTCTGGTTACTAAAGACAAGTTGGGTCCCATGTGCATGCCATGAAGCATGTTGCAGCTGATTCCTGTGACATTTGACTCTGCAGTGTAGATGAGCCCTGAGCCAGTCTGGAGGGAGGTTGCACTGAGACATTCCTGTAAGTTTTATTTCCGCACAGTTGACCTAGATACAAGTCCTAGTCACTGATTAGTACCTCAGTTTGCAAAGCCTAACCTCGCCACGAAGCTTAGCGGCATATTGTACCTCACAGATAGATGCAGATCATCAAATATATGAATGGGTTGCTGTTCGCGGTGGGATTTATTATGGTGCAGAGCTGGCTGAAAATGTTATATTTCGTTCCCTAAAAATCCTGTTTTCTTTTCGTCATCGAGACCAATAAACTAAAGCCTGCAGCTTTTTAACTGTGAAAAGAATAGCTACTTAGCTGTGTAATTAGAGAGAGGTTACTTTTTTGCAAAACTTGAAGCATAGTAGAAATCTGTATTAAGAAACCTGGATTTGGTAGGTGTGTCATACACGTACTTTGAACTTGCGCACAAATGTTTTGTTTAGTTTTGACCTTGATGTAACGGTTGAGCTGTCGGTTTTCGCATCGCCATTCTCAGTGGAGTAAAATTCACCCTGGCTGGCTGAGCAGGGGCAAAGTCCTGACATTTTATGCTGCGTGGCAGACCGAGGGAGAGCAGGGTGAGCAGACGCCCCTCTGTGCCCCAAGCTGTGCTGGAGCAGGCTGGCACTTCAGTGGATCCAACACACCAAAGCCAACCCACGTATAGGGGCTGCAGCCACTCTTCCAACCCAGAGACAGGACTGCACGGCACCCCCCAGCACCAGCCACCACCCTGTCTAGCACCCTGCCATCAGCTCGGTGCAGGGGGATCTCACCCTGTATGAACCCTTTAGTATGCTATAGGGCAGTAAATGTTGCACTTACAGTATGTTTAAATACTGGTATATTTTGAGAATTATTGTAAACTCTGTTGTGGGAGCCATTAGTTTTGCTTTGTTGCACAGATTATACTCATGATTTTTGCATGGTTACAATGTAGTACTTGTGCCTTTTACTCACCTGTTGTGAGTGTACCAGATTTTTTTCCCTACATTTTATCTGCTATTTTGGGCACTTTTTATATGTACCTTTTTTTTTTCGTTTGAGCTTCATCTCTGTTTTTTCATGTACTGTAAATGTGTATATATAAAATAGATCAGATTTGTATTTCATGTGCCTCAACTGGATGTAAAAAAAAAAAAAAAA